CATCACAGGCACACACTCTCTCCGTCAGACACAGTCCATCACAGGCACACACTCTCTCCGTCAGACACAGTCCATCACAGGCACACACTCCCGCCATCAGACACAGTCCATCACTGGCACACACACACCAAAAAGTGTTTTTGAACTGTGAAGGAAACCCGTTTAAAGACACATTGCAGTGTGGCACTAAGATGTGACAGGTACCGGAGTGTGTTTGCATGTTTCTCCTCCTGTTTTCTGTTACACTCCTAGTTGTCTTTAAAATTGCCCTGTGATGATATCCAGTCTATGGTGTTTCCTGGGGGAGGGGGGGGGGGGTTGTCATTTTGACCCTAAGCTGGTTAAGAGGTTGGGAGATACATGAATAATTCCTCTTTTTTTGTAATGAAACTGTTTGCCAGCCATACAATGACTGCAAAGTACTCAACTGAACAGAGGAAAGCCAAAACCAGCATGGCAGAACATGGTATTTTTATTACCATATTTCTCTGTATGGCAGTTGCTGTGAACACTGTCCTCTATAACAACATCTACCTGTTATGCAAAACAAATACAGAACCAGGTAATAAAAAAGAAGATAGTCTGCAGCTATGTGATCACTGAGCATGACATAGATTATCAAACACATGGCAGATCACAGACATCAGTCTGGTTATAAACTGCATGGAGGTCTATTGTTGACCTCATGGCTTGAAGTGCAGTTCAGTGCTTTTGTGAAGTACGGGAGGACTGGCCATGAAAACAGGGATACTCGCTCCCTCACTGTTTAAACATGAATGCTGGACAGGGGATGAGACTTTCCAGACAAAGGGGAGACATTGAGGGCTTTTGGGATAGGGGGACTCATCAAGTCTTCAAGGCAGTCTGGTGCGGTGCCATCGGACGCCCTGTGTTCCAATATGAAGATCCTCGAGGTTTAAAAAGGGATCAGAGTGGCGACCAGTGGAGGGAGGGAAGGAGCCCAGGACCAGGAAGCCTTAAGCCAAAACTATTCTGAGCTACAGCGTTCCGGAAAAATTGCAGACATGCGACAGGGTACATATAAAGTCCAAAAAGGAGGTCGTTACAAGGATTTTCAGCAAAGTTGATCGCAAATAAGATAAATTGATCCCAAGGGAAAATTTTGGTGTCTACACCAGTGTGGTCCTAAGCTGGAGACAGGCAGAGATGCTGGGGGCAGTGCTGAGGCATCCGGGAGAGGATCAAAACATCCTTAAGCAAATTAAGATCATGACATTACATTTAAGAAAATATAGATTGTTTTTTGTTTAATATCAGAAGAAAAGCAGTGGAACCAACAAAGAGCCAATAACCTGTTATGTGGCCTATCCTACGCTATAGGCGAGAGCACCCAGATCAGTCACTCTGCCCCCAAGTAAGCTTTCTGTGCTGCGAGGGCCTGCAGGAGGGCCTGCACAGAGGACCGGGTGAACTACGGTCCCAAACCAATACTCTGCAGATTCATTAATTAGAGAAATAAAAGCATCCAAAGCAGCCAGAATCTTAAGTACATCTATGGTGCATTAAGCCGGTAATTCTTACATGTATTTATTAGCACAGTAATGATCTTAGCAGACTTGCTAATTGGCCTTGGGGTGTTGGTTACATGGGCGCCCCTTCTGGCCTACAGATGAGCCTGCACCGCGGGTCTCAGTCATGGGAGAGGGGGGGGGGGGTGGCTATATTAGGCAACCTGCAGATGGGAAGTGAGCCCAGTAAGGCTGTTTCGCTGCCTACAGCCTTTGTTACAGCTTGGAGGCGGGGCTGTCCTACAGGCCTCTGAGAGAGAGACTGGGGTTCGAGTCTCCAGGGGCTGTCACAGTGAATCTACGTGAACCCACATTAACAAATTTAAACAAACTTCGCCGGCTCTGCTCCTCCGCCTAGACACATGAAGGGATTCAGATGCGGTTCTGTGTTCCCGACTCCCAGCTTATATGAAACGCTACTCGTTCAAATTTAAAAGCAGCTGCAAAAACATCGCGCTGTTCCGGGAATGTATATATACTTTGTTCTCTGGTTTGCGGAGTTCAATTCGTATAATAAAGCCAATATTCTTAAGTGACAATAAACAACTGAAGCGTGAGCAGAGAACCCTGTTTCCAGGGTTGAAAAATATTCACTCAGCATTATAAGCCCTGGAAGATTTCATCACCTATTCTATTGCTACCACACGCTACCGGCAGTTTATTCATTTTTCTCTCTCTTTTTTTTACATTACTGAGCTTGCCATATTCGGTCAGCATTCGGTGTGCTTTATGTTCTAAATTTCCGCCTATATAACAAAGTAAAATTTAAAAACATGCTGAAATCGTCCATATGCGGTAAACACACGTAGCTTCCTGAAAATATTCCTCCCATTCGGAGTTCAATGCTGTAGACTGTAATACTGCTTATGGATCACAAGGTTTAAAGTTCGGCGCAAGTAAGAGCGATCACTCCCCCTAATCCCACCTCTAACCCCACCCTCTCATCGGGGGAGTGGAAAATAACCAATTAATCAAATCACATTGTGAAAGATGCTGCAATCGCTGGCTCAGTGTGGCTAGCAATGTCAAAATCAATCACAAATCTCTCAAATATTCCCTTAATGTAATGGTTGCTGGTGTCGCTTGCCTGACCCACCATACATTTCGTTAAAGCGTTTTTGTTAATGCATGACCCACTTAAACGCAAAGCTAGTAAGATGAATTTTGTAGCGAGTGAACGTTTGGCGAAGGCCGAAACAGACGTCCGCTGCCCGTGGGGGTTCAGCAGATAGGAGCAGAAAAGTCCATCCATTCCATGCGGGGGGTGGGGACCTCTTTACACCGTCGCTATGCGCATCCTTGCTTGTTATGCATTTACAAGTCCTTCATTTAAACATCATTATCTAAAAAACAGGAAAGCTGTGCATTTCTCCATATCTTGTGATTAAAACAGGATTATTAATGCCTTAAAGAAAGTCTTCCAAACGATCCACACGTTTTGGAGACAAAGAATTGTACCTAATTATACCGTGGAAAGCCACCGAAATACTGAGCAGTTAAGCTCGCCGGCTACGCTTACTTAAAATTCATTTTTAAGGCGGTAAAGATATTGCGTGGTTTACATTTTTTGACATTTCCAAAATAAAAATAAGCTTACAGAGTGGCTGCCTAAGGCAATAAATTGTCACTGAAGCAAATAAATGAGGAAAGAAATTTTAAAATTTTATGCGTTTTGTGTTGGGCAGTGTAAATTGCAGGAATGCGCGGAGTCAAAGCATTATTACTGGTTTAAAAAAATCGACAAACTGAACAATGAAGTTCCTTCAAAATAAGTGTACAAAGAAACACACAGTAGTTCATATTTAAATGTTTTAATTAAAATAATTTATTTTTAACGTTGGAGTATGAAAGGCACACACTTAGGGACCCAACTTTCATACACACAGATTACGGCTAAGGTCTGTGAGGAAATACAGACTGTTGACATAATTAGCCTAATCTTTTACTTCTCTGTTATCATTAGCACTGAAGCGCAACAAATTCTCGCTGCTCAGCATCATTTCCATTTTAAGTCTTATTTCGCCAGGAAACTCCGTATACCGAATGTGACAGTGTATGACTGCGGGGCTGTTTTGCAACTTCACTCCTAAGTACTTCACACTAACAGCCCACTAAATTAGAAACTACAAAACATGCTCCACTTCCGGAGGAAAAAAATCGCTGCTGTGCTGTTTTAATCCAATACTGCATAAAAATCTAATGCTCTACCCCTTCGACGAAACTGGCTCAATTTAAGTAATCAAGCTGTTAAAATGTATATTTAAGAAACATAAATAGAGCAAAAAAATTAAAAGCAGGTTATTCTAAAAAGTTTACAGTTATCAAGTCTACTGCATATTGAGTTCAAACTAATAGGGAAAACAAACAGCAATTATCTTCGTGACGTCTCCATACACACCACATTCTGTATTTCACACCGACCACAGCCCCACCGTAAGACAGGGCAAGAGAAAAATTATCTGATACTCATGCGCGTTTCTCTGCACGGAAATCTTTAGTAAAAGGCGAAAGATTTATGCGCTTTGAAGAGAAACCAGAGTTAATAAAACAACACACTAAGCCGGGGCTACCAGGTGCAGTACACTATATTTCCCGTTTGGGGGGTGAACGCCGAGATAATATATTTATATTCAATATCTAAGATACTTAGACATAATATGCACTATATATCTAATAATCTTTGTTTTGTATTGTTACTTCAATGTTTATGTTGCTAGATTTCCACAAAAAAGCGACTAGTGCATGACGGGAGGTTTATGCTAATTTAACTACAGCCTTTAGAGTTACTAATAAATAAAAGACTTTCCCAAACAATTATACGTTGAATTGATACGTGTATTTTAACCTGAGATACTAATTAGTCAACGAGGCTATAAGATGCTGAGTTACAAGGTTATAAGGCTGTTGTTTCGCAGATTGCATTTCACCCTGTTGAGAACGGTGGACACTGGACCTTCAAAATAAAAGCCCCTTAACGTAATACAGCGGAGCGCAGGCGTAAGGCTAACACTTTTAATTGTTCATCGAGTTTTAATATTCATATGCAGAAAAACAATGGAAAAAATCAGAAATTAGAAAATCATCATCGAAGCATAAATTATAACTGATTCCACATACAAAGGGCAAAAATACATTTTACTTTGTGTGGAAAGCAGACTCCACTCTAGTAGTAGGAGCGAAGGTGGCTGGCTAGCATGTAGCCTACTATTAATCACAGGACTTTAACCAAGCTGGAACGAAATAAAGGTAGCGGGTTCAAACCAATCGGTTTTTGAAAGACGGATTAAGAAGTAACGATTGTTCTTGCACCACTGTTGCATATCGTAGTATTCAATGATATAATGAATGAAACTTTGTCATTATACGTTCAGTGCCATGAAACGCTGTTTTGCTCTCTGGTCGTGAAAAAGTTCTAGCAAAGACAAAAAACAGCGGTTTTACGTGGACAAGCCGTAATCAACTGTTCGCTTACCCCGCTAAGTCTATCAGGAAGGTCCGGTGTAAAACACCGTTAACTCTGTGAAGCAAACTAACACCCAAGTGGCATGTTTTACTTGTTTCTTACCTTTCTGACAAGCATCGCTTCAATACGTCACTTAACGGCGTCGTTTAGAGAATTAGAAAGTTCACACGCCCTCGCCTTCACTATAGCAGTAAAACATCTATCCCCCTGGTCATTTTAAGCTTTAAATTCACAACAGATTGTAATATTTCCAATTACTGGTTGTTATTTTGAGAGCTACCCAATTTTAGCGGAATTGACCAAAATTTCTCCGTGAATCCTATAATTAACAAGCACCTCTTCTCCCCACTTACTTAGCACGGGACTGGGGGACGATGAAGGACGCTGGATTGTCTCTTGTATGTTTCTATATGACTTTGTCATCCAACAGTGAATGAAAGCACGCAAACCGCGTCCTTGGTCGCCATCCGAGACAGTTGACCGACAGTCGGGATGGTTTAATGGTTGCGTCTATATGGTTCAAGACAGGGATGGGTATTTATCTTAAGTTTCAAACTAACAAACCGAGGCCACAAAACCTTATGAAATGCGTTCCCTTACGTCATTATTTGTTATGTTTTATAAATTCAGAATTTTGAGGTTAAAACGAGAAAGATGGAGCGGTGGACGGAATCATCCCTCCCCAAAAACCATACCGCTACCATCTAATCTGCAGCGCCGCCTAGCGACTAGACATGTGAGAAAAGATGACATGTGACCCACTGATAACGTGATGGGATGATGATTCCTCAAGGAAGTTTGGTCTTTTTTTATTATTGTTAATTCGTCATTCAGTATTTTATTAGTCGATTATGAGATTTATATGCTTTATATGAACAAAAATAATATGGTAATATGTAAAATGGTTTTAATATTTGTTAACTACATTTTTATTCAGCATAGATATGTGAATACATAGCTGGTCATATTAAGAATAAAGAACATGATTTTGCTATCTTAATGAGTAATGGTGGTGTATTTGTATTATCTTAATTGAGATTAAGAGTCTGCGTGGAAGGACGCCAGGAACTGTTGGTTTTGTCTCGTTGCATCGCGTGTGAACATGTGTGTGCGTGCATGCGCACGTGAGGCACTGAGCATCGCTAACGGACCGTAACGCCTTTTGCCGAGTCAGCTCATGTGCGCACTGTGCGTCCCACTAGTGGGCGTTTGTTACGCTCGGTTTCCTGTCACGCTTGCTGTACTGTGCACCGTTGCATGTCGTTCTCAGCACCCAGTCCAGCTGAGAAGACCTCAATGAGCTAATCGCTGCCCCAGGTGAGCGCAGTCTTCACTTTTGATGTGCTACCTGGTTGCACTCACAGGGGACGCAGTGGCCGATTCAGAAACGCGTAGCTGCCTGCACCCAAACATCCCTGGTCCGCACAGAGGGAGGGGTTTTCATCGTTCGACCGTGGGGGTAACCATGGTTTCCAGGCACATCATAGGATAAGACAATGCGGCAACTGGTGACCCGTCCGTCGTTTTCACATTTGCATAACTTAGCAGACGTTTTTGTCCAAAGCGAGATAGAATGAAGGCTGACGATACATAAGACATCACAGGCGTACAGCTGTCAAGGAGCCTTCTGAGGAAGCGGAGCCAGTCGGCTGAGCTTCCAGTGAGTGACCAGAAATCAGGGCAGCTTGTGGGGACAGTAGCTCCACGAAGGTCAGCCTTAACCTGGCATCAGAAATGATAAATAAACACAAATTTCAGCCTGGAGAGAAAGGAGTGAGAGGTGGAGCCTAGGTGCAATATAGAAAAACACTTCAGAGTGGAACAAGTCACTAGGGCAGACGGCAGCACAGGGCTTGTTTGTGCCTCTCCTTCGCTTATAAGTGTAGAAGAAGAGCGGTGACAGCGGCAGTCTGTCTTCATCAGCGCGCTCAGGTGGCCGCCATCACCCTCCCTGGCACTAATTGTCTGAAGATGTGGGGGGTGGGGGGTGTATGACACTGGGAGTATGAATGTCTAATTATTTCTATTTCCTTTTTTTTTTTCTTTGCACTTGCCTGAGATCTTTGACCCCCCCCCCCCGAATTCTCTCTCTATTTTCTCTAAGGCCAGTTGGGGATCCCTGCTCTCTCGCTGGGCCTTCCCACCTCTGTCTGCGAGGGGCTGCATAGTTCGTTAAGAAGGAGGAAAGCGACAGTCTGTCTCGATCTAATTTAAATAAAATGGCAGAATTCCATCTTAACGCAGCTCTATACCTTCCGCTGCAGTTCAGAAGAGCGGCGGATAATTTTCCAGTTAACCAGCCAACTGGATCCTTTTTCCAAGAAGCTCCCTTGATGGTGACGCGGTGCTGCGTCACGTGGTTTCCCCGATTGTGCCCCTGCTTTCACGACGCGGCCAGGCAGGCGTCCCTCCGAGGCCTGCCCCCTCCCAAAGGCTCTCCCGTCTGCACGGAAAGTGTTCGGGTGGAGGAGGGGGGCTTAAAGTTTTCTGGTGGAGGAGGGGGGTTTAAAATGCTCGGGTGGAGGAGGGGAGTTTAAAGTGCTCGGGTGGAGGAGGGGGGTTTAAAGTGTTCGGATGGAGGAGGGGGGTTTAAAGTGTTCGGGTGCAGGAGGGGGGTTTAAAGTGTTTGGGTGGAGGAGGGGGGTTTCCATGTTTCCCAAAGCCTTCTACATGTGTGTGGACTCCCGAAAGCACACCGAGATGGGGGGGGGGAGGTTTTGGGGCGGGGCTTGACTGGAGAAAGGGGCCTGGTGTGGAAAGCCAGGGGCTCCTCTGAAGTGGCACAGGAGACGGATTCACGGCAATGGTGACAAGCCAGCTTCACGCCTAAGCCTTCAGCGTGGCCTTAATTAAACAGCCTTTCATTCCCCCAACCAGCAGCAGCAGTGCCCCCCCAGCGCCAACCCCCGCCTCCCCGCTTTGTTCCAAGGCCCTTAATGAAGCAGTCTCCTCCATCGATCCCGCTGATTGCCAGGGCCCTGCCTTTGCGGGCACCGCGCCAGCCGACTTTGCTCTGTCAGCTCCATGCGCCTAATTAACTCTGTTGTTCTCTTCCTCCCAGGTTTCGCCAGCTTCAAGTTCAGGCAAACAGCGCCAAACTCGGCCTGGCCGCCCTGCCGGGGTCTCCAGGGGCAACCCCGGCACCGCTCCGAGCCGTGACCCCGCGAGTGACCTCTCTTGTCAGTGCTAACCCTGGGCTCGGCCTGCCGCGCCAAGTCGGAACCGGATCCCTGCAGCCCCGACTCATTACATCCTGAAACTGTGTTTGTGCTTGACGCACTTTCACGTTAAACAACTTGGTCTTTCAGCCTGCCCAGTCATGCACCGTGGATGCTCGAAGTGTTTGCTTGTATATTTACATGTCTGTTTGCACATGTATGTCCGAGCACGCCTCCTGTCACACGGCAATGTGGCTGCGCCGGTGTGCTCACAGACACACATGCAAACACACACAGAGAAAGCCAGTGGCGTTCTGAGTGAGTCTAGCTGATGTACTGAGTAGTGTGAAGGAGGCTCTAATTATGAGATAGCTGCTGCATTCCGGAACATTCAACAGTGACTGAAAAAGCCCCCACCTTCTCCTTCACTCTTCACGCCAATACCTCCCGGTGCCTGCTTGCTCCAGCCCCACCCACCCAGTGAATTTATCAGAATACTTTGAATGCTAATTAGAGTAATCACCTCGCCCAAAGTAGCTGGGGAGTGTCTGGTCACCAACGTTATACCACAGAATCCTGGTGCACCGCCCCCTGCACTGCACCGAGGGAAATGCACAGTTCATGCACTGATGTCTTGTATCTGAGTGTCTCAACACCCCCCCACCCAGGCAAATGATAACGTTCCTGACTGTAAAGGCAGGCTAGAGGTGCTCCTTCAGAGGACCTCAGCACACTGCCCACTAGCCTTCGGACATGGTGGAGGATGGATGATTCATATGTGCTGACTCACCAACCACGCAGGTCTGGCTCTTGGGTAGGCGGGTTGAACAGATGTACGCGAGAAAGTTTGACCCTCTGGGGGCAAAACAGTGGACTGGAGGTGGGAGCCAGCCAATAAGGTCGCCAAGAGTGTGACAAAGCAGGGGTGGTTCTTGTATGCATGACTGTGTGTGAAGACCACCCATCGTACACTGGACACACACTCCCTTAACCCTCTGCACTGTCAAAAGGATCTATGATAGTATTCAGTTGTTCATAGACCCAGGAGTGGTGTTTACCACTAGGACTTTTGCCCCCTGTTGGGCACACACAGTCACTACACTAGGGGGTGACTTTTTGCGTGGCGGCCCAGAAACAAGAAACCCACCCCTGGACAGACCCACGACGTCTCCAGGGAAGGAGACAGCTCTATTTGGGCAGCAGTAGGGCATCTCAAAAACATCACGGTGCCTCCATCTGATGTTTGGGTGGAGCTTTTTGTGTCATCACATCACCGTGAGCCCCCCCCCCCTTTTTTGCTCAAGGCAGCCGAAAGCCTTAGAAATGCATCAGAGCGTGGCAGCAAATGGTCGTGTTTCCGCTGCTCCCCATGGGCAGTTCTTGGGGAAACTTGACGGGAGGCCGTTAGCGACCCAGGGTGGGCCAGGGGGGCAAGGCTGGTCTCTGTCACAGATGGATTAACAGTAAATATCATCACAGGTTCTGGGACCTTCCACCCTGAAGCAGGCTTGCCGCAGATGCTGTGGTTAGTTTTCAGTCAGGCTGTCTTAGCAGGGACGTGGCATTGGATGTAGTCTCCGAGACTTTTTCAAAAGACATTTTCAAACTCGTTACTCTGATATCAGTTGTTTTTTTTTTAAGAGGGTGTTAAAAAACGTCTGTGTCTTCTTTGCTGGTGAAAACACGCGGCCCCAGTTTAAGTCCTGATGCCTGCTACCCGGACAGCTGTGAGAATCAGAAGGACGGCGTCTTCAGTCTTGAGCGATTAATTGCCAATTAGCCTGAGCTTTTCATTTCTTTGGAGTTCTTTCAAATTAGTCTGTGTGTAAATCGTGCAATTTCCCTCAAAGTGAAGTTACATTCTTAAAACTGAATTCTTATTATGCCAGGATTTTATTATTTACTGTCCGAAAGTCCCTGTCACGTTATCAGAGATGTGTTTGCTTGTCTGACAGCCTTTGGTCTCTTCTGACAGATCGCTGCAGTTATTGAGAGGAAGGTACAACGTGTTCCCTTGAGGAAGTGTATGGGGGTGTCTCACTGACCCACAGACCTCACCGTGCTGGAGAGAAACTCCCCAACAGTTCATGTGTGAACTACATGCAGCTATATTTAGGGCCTACCACTGTATTTGCACATTAAAGCAGATCAAGACTCCATGTGGAACC